TGATACATAGTCTGCACTGTCTTGTAGAGGATATGGCATGCGGTTGCTGGTGGAAGGGCACCGAGGGGGGGGCGATAGGTGTACAAAAACTTCCTTTAATGTCTGAGAATGTAGGGCCGCACAGGACCTAGGAGGCAGACAGGGTATCGGGGGGTAGATGGGCAACTTGGCTCGGACTGTTTTTTGACAACTTCGACACGATACCCGGTTGAATAACTACACGAGGTCGTCGCCTAGTAACCAGCCAGAGGCCAAAACACACCAAAACTGCGGGTTCTCGAGCCATGATAACTCCACAGATATCTTTAAACTCAGCTTTGAAAAAATTAAAAATATTTGACATGTCTGAAGTATAATATATATATTTTTTGGCCCCTTTTCCTGTTGTTTGTAGAGAACTGCGGACACATGAACTGTGTAAGGTCGCTTACAATGTACTCGTACCTTTCTCATACAAAACTCCTTGACCTGGAAGGTACTGCACCTCATGGGAATGAACATTCCGCCTCACAACTCTGGGAGAGTGGAAGGAAAAAATCACCAACTTTTCTATGTGATTGCTTGTGGTGGTTGCGTAATGCTAACTCCAAAACGAGACTTTTTGGTCCCTTGTTTTGACCCCTGTCTGGTGACTAAACAACCTCTATTGATGATAACAAACGAGCGACCTCCCATGATTACGAGTAAGTTAGTAAAGGAGTGATAGCAAGAAGCCTATCGGGTGAGAAAGCATAACACATTATTTTTTTTATCGCCAAAAAAGAAAAAGGAGCAATAGAAATTGAAATACCAAAAATAAAGTTGAAAAAAAACCCTCAACACTTGCTCCGTATTGCGCTTCATTCAACAGCTCTCTACTTGCGGCCTCTACTCGAGCAGTTGGTCGTTCACCCTGGCCCTCCGCTGTCTGTGGGTTGTTACCCGCGTAGATTCCTAAAGTCTCTCCCTCCGATTCAACGACCCCTATCACCTCCAGTACGGCCTGACCTATTGCCATGAGGTGCCGATAGGAGTAGGATTAGACTGTAGAAAGGGAAGGAGATAGAGCTGTTTTTTATTTTTGTTCTATGTTGTGCTAGTACCTTTCGTGCTTGCTATCCACCTATATATGGGTCACAGTGGTGGTCGATATAGAAAAATGCAGCTCCCCCCTCGTGAAGATAGAGGTTCTCCATGACCCTTTTTCTTCCGGCTATCAGTCCGGCTTCTTCCTGGAAATATGCCTGGTCGGCGATGCTAAGGTGATAAGATTGGATGTCCCTTCTTTGCGAAATATATCTTTCAAGTCACTATCACAGTGGTGACATGATATGATGATAGCAATATCAATTACTTTAAGACCGTATTTCCGGTTTCACTACGATAAAGAACCATAAACCAAAGCAAATCTCCCCTCTGTTTATAGACTAAAAGTTTTGAAACCAGCCTGAAATGGAGAATACACCTATTCTATCCCGAAACAGTATATTATGAAAATAAGGCAGAGCCCTTAACGGTATATGACCGTATTTTAACACTTTCATTCGTCCCAGTACCGCCAAAGCACGAACGAGGGGGTTCCGAGTGGGTCGGGGCACATTCCTTCGCTCTGCATGCAGAGATCTAAGAGCCGTGAAAGACCCTAGACCCACCAGCAATGCCGACTGATTGCCTTCAACTAGTGCATACTATTCGGACAACATAAAAAAACAGAGGAAACACAAAGGAAATATCGGTGAACACGAAAAAGCCACAAGTTGGGGGAAGGCAGGACTCCCGAAAATATTTATGTGAGCACCAGTAATTCCCAGCACAGCAGGGGCTACCGGTGGTGTGATGGGTCACTATTTCCAGCTGCCACCATTGCAGAAGGCTGCTCTCAGCGCAAATAACGGACAACACGGCGGGCAAATTGTGGCCATGTATCGACTGGGTTTCTGGGCAGTGTCCACCCTGAACGCCGCCTAATCGCCCACGAACCGTTACGCTCTCCTTGGAGTCGCAGCACCGTAGCCAGGTGTTCGGCACTTATCCGGGTGCTGGGATGGTCTGGTCCAAGAATTTTCCTGCGCCCCTCCAGTGCACGCCGATTCATCGCCTCCGATTCATCGTACTTTCCTTGGGACTGTAGCACACTAGCCAGGTTGCTAACACTTGTTAGGGCGCTTGGGTGGTCTGGTCCAAGAATCTTCTCATACCCCTCCAGTGCACGCCGAATCATCGCCTCTGATTCATTGTGCTTTCCTTGGGATTGCAGCACAGTAGCCAGGTTGTTGACATTTCCAATGGTGTCTGGGTGGTCTGGTCCAAGAATCCTCGCGCACCCCTCCAGTACACGCCGATCCATAGCCTCTGCTTCGCTGTACTTTCCTTGGAATTGGAGCGCAGTAGCCAGGTTGTTGGTACTTACTAGGGTGTGTGGGTGGTCTGGTCCAAGAATCCTCTCATACCCCGCTAGTGCACGCAGATTCATCGCCTCCGATTCATTGTACTTTCCTT